GCTTGTGCAGAAAAGAGGTTCTTGAGACACTGGAGTTGTTTAGACTTTCATTCTGAGCCCTGTGTTCACATTCCACAAAGCAGTCCGGGAAGCTCTGAAGGCTGCCTCTCCATGGTTTTGGAAACGAGAAAAACCAGAGGAGGAGACCAAAGAAAAACCTTTGAAAAGGAGATGGTTTTAGAAGAGAGAAGCCCACCGTCCAAAAGAATGGAGAATAAGGAAAAGTCTGGAAGGCTGTTAGGGCGTACACAACATTCTTGAAGGAGCAGGGCGACGGGTTCTCTAGAGAGGCACTGACAGCCCATACCTCGGTCCTCTTTCCCTCTAACCTGCCCAGGGACACGGCACTCCCTGCTCTTTGGAAACCCCTGTCCCTGCATGACCAAGTGCCCCACCCTGAGCCCCAGGGAAGATGGCTCTGGATGCACTGCCCTGGGGATGCTGCATCAGGCCACACCTGACCTCTGGCACCACATGAAGGGCTTCTGTAGCTCAGGACAGAGAACTTACACTGTGTGTGAGTGTCTCTATTAAGAAGGCTAACGTTCAATGGAGACAAAATCATAATATATTCTACCAGAGTTTTCAACGTGATTTTAAAACTTACTCTTCATCCAAACAACTAAATGCACAACTGCGACGTTGGAGGAACGCTAGTTCTGTTGCCATGGAAACCTGAGAAAGGGGGAAGGTCCGCTGGAATATTAGATGAAACTGCATAAGTGATGGAAGCCTCTTACTGGTAATCTGCATCTGGACTAGGCAGGGGGAGCCTCGGCTGTGGGTTTTCCTGAGAGCCAGGACTCTTGGAATTGGCACGTTCCTTGGAGGCATCTGGAATCCATGCCGATAGTACAAGAACTATCGGTCTCCTGTGGGAGAGGGCCTGCAAGCCAGTGTGTGGAACCTGCGTCCACTTGAGGTGAGTCGTCTCCCCTCCCACCTGCGCTGACCGCTGGGCAGCTGACACCTGTGAGCACGGCTGGTGAGGCGCACTCCTACTGAAGAGAAATGTCTGGGGCCGCCCAGTCTGCGGAAGGAGTTTCCCAGCCTGTGCACTTTTCTAGCGCCAGTAGGGCGGGTGGTAGATGTAGAAGTCTGAAGGCTTCATTTAGGCTTCAATGAACTGTCTGCCTTGGAAGCTTGGAGGACACCCTCGTGGGTGTCATGTGAGTTCCACTGTGGGATTGATTCTGGAGCTCATGTTGTTTCATAATTATTTAAGAGGACTGGGCTCCCTCCGCAAAGCCTCCACTTTCCCAGGTTGCCTATGACTGAGTTGACAGATTTTTATACAAATTCCAATATCATTACTTCTCAC